CCCTGTATTGGTGCAGGGGCCACAGCACTGCACTTTATGGGGCCCTTGCAGGTGGGACGCGGGGGATGGCTCCTGCCCTTTCACCTCGCTAGCCAGGGGTGAGACCCCCCTTCTGCTACTGTGGCTTGGCTGCAGGACCTTCTCTTGCATCTGGGGCTTCCTTGGGGAACTCCATCCTGCAACTTTTCTGGAGGACCCTGTCCTACAACCAGGGCCTGGCTGCATCCTCCCAGCTAAGCCTGGAGACAAATTTTTTCTCCTTTTTTGCTTCTGCTTCCAGCAGAGAGGCTGCAGCCAGCAGCAGTCCCCTGCATGCACTGGGGCTCGGGGCTCAGCAGTTTCAGGGGGCTTAGGGCGGGCACCCTGGTCTCACAGCCTCTGATGCCCCTCCTGCTACTTGCATGGCTGCAAGCAGGAGCTCCGAAAAACCCTGGCTGTTGTTCCCTGCCCATTTTGCCAGGCCTGGGGTCTCCTTGCCTGTGATGTCAGCACCGCATAGTGTGAGGGGAGTGATGAGATGGCTCCTGTCAAGCAGGACCTTCCCAGGGTTGCCAGCTCCAGCATTCTCAAGTCTCAGCATTGCCACCGTCCTTACCTTACTGTAGTGTGGGGTGCCTGGAGGTCCCTTGCCCCCAGAGCCAAGCGGTGTGTCCAGGGGGGCTGTGATCTGGTAGTGGGGGAGAGATGGTTTGTAGCCACAAGGGCGCAGAGAAAAAATAGGAAAAGTGGTGGTTAAACCACTCAAATCAGTAGGCAGAGCACTGTGCCATGACCTTTTTTGTAATCTGATTTTTTTTCCCTTTCTGTGGGGTAGATGGAAGTCTCTTGCAATGCTCAAGCCCTCGGGATTAGCAGTAGGAGATGGGAAAGACCCAGCACCGGCAAGAGGGAGTGTGAGCGGGGTGTGTGGGCAGCGGTGTTGGCAGCGATGCTTCCCCTGCCCACTGGGGTGCGAAGTGACCATGGGGCTGGGCTGGGGGCAGGTTTGCTTTGCAAGCACCGAGGGAGCCCGGGTGGGATGGTGGCAGCAGCCCTGCTCCGAGGTGTCTCTGACAGTATTAAAATCAGCTGAAACTTTGGTGCTGTTGACTTGGCTGCTCTGTGTCTCCCAAAGAGCCACCTCTCAAAGCCCAGCAGGTCCAGTGATCTCACAGGATCCCTTCTGAGGCCTCCAGATCCTCCATCCCAGGGGGTTGCCAGCTGCCATGCTAACCCTGCACCTCTCCTGCTTTCACAGACCATCCTAGCTCCCTTCCCTGTTCCAAAACCAGGATACCGGGGCTTTGGGCATTTTCACTGTTGTCTCCCCCCTGCTGCAGCTGCCGGAGCCTGTGCTCACAGCTGGCCAAGCACCATGGGATGAGACCTGGGGAGGGAAAGTCACTATCAGCACCCCACACCCTGTGTCTCCTCCTTTGGCTCCCCCAGCTTGGAGCAAAACTGGCTCTTACACCTCAGTGTGCTCCCAAGGGCTGGAGGGAGGTGGTTTTTGCTGGGGATGCTCCTAGCAGAGCCCCCCTGGGAAGGACCAGGGGATGGATGTTGTTATAGCAGGATCCTCCTGCATTGAGGACAGTGTCTGTGGTAGGGAAGAAGAACTGAGGCTTTGCTTCTTTCCAGAGTTTTCTACCACACTGGGCAGGGACCCCTGAGGTTGTCCTGAATGGCCCAGGGCCACCTGTATCCCACCACAGGTCTCTGCCCCCGCAGCTGCTGACAACATCCGTGCACCTTCCTGCCTCCAGCAGTGCCCTGCTGGGCTGTGAGCCCCCTCCCTGGGCTATGCACCCCCTCCCTGGGCCATGCACCCCCTCCCTGGGCCATGCACTCCCTCTGTAGCCCTCCTGCAGGAGGTGGGTTCCTGCCTGGCCCCACAGGTGCCAGCCCCGGTCACCAGAGAGGCTGGGGGGGGGGTTGCGGGGGGCACG